TTAGCAGTATCCCTGGTCTCCACCTGCTAGATGCCAGTAGACTGTCCCCCTCCCCAGTTGTACCAGCAAAATATAGACCTTGCCAAATATCCCAGGGACGGGGCACAAAGTTGCCTCCAATTGAGAACCACTGACCTGCAAAAGTAAAACCTATATTCTCTCTTGGCTTATAATATACCACAAGATTTTGGACCCAAATATCTTCAACTTTATCTCCTGAAACTATAACTCACACAGACCCTGACATCTCTTGCAGTTTTATAGAAAACCTATTTTTTTCCAAGTATGCTGCACCTTTTATGATTCCCAAACTAAAATGCCCCATTTTTCTAATTTTTGTCCCCATTTTCCACTGGAGTAACTTTTTGTCCTTCTCCTTTTAAACTAATCTCAGATACTTTCTCCTGTTGTAAAGTCTTCCCTATCTACACTATAAATAATCTGTCCTTTTTCTCTGTGGCTCCTATATCACTTACCACCTATGCTCTTGTCACTGTAATTTCTTCCTTTCACAAATGTATTTTACCCTGACCACTGCTACCACCTGCTTACAACTTTTTGAGTTTAAAAAAGAGATTTTATATACTTAGCATGTAGTATCATGCCCAACACATACTAGGAATTTTGACAACTATGAGATAAACGAATAAGGGAATGACTGAATGAGTGAATGAATGAGGTCACACCTTTCTCTCCCTGGCATGGAAATGTGCTTCATGTTCTGCATGCAGAGTGAGTTGCCGGCTTCACGTCAAGGGGGAATCCCCCTTTAAGAAGTGGATCTGAGCTGCTCTTCTCCATGTTACCTGAAATCCCACCTGTTCCTGAAACTTGCTGTATTGAGACATGAGTTTCAAGTTGATGCAGGAGAAAGTTGTTAAAATTTATTTTTTTATTCATTGATGATCACATCTGTAATGTCCCAGTCATAAAAATAATCTTATATTTAACAAACCCCACTCAGACATATTCTGTATGGGGCTCTGCTTAGCATCTTGATGTGAAATTTATACCTAAGTCTATGTCGGCAAACATCAAATTAAACTTGTAAGTATAAAGGAAATAAGACTGTCCTTGACCTCCCAAAGCTTAGATGATCACCGGTTTCTAAATGACATTCCTTGAAAGTGAACTTTGATTTTTTTAAGCACTGGGCATAAGGCTCTAATGAAAGGCACTGATGATATTTGGATGATTTAGAACAGCACAAGCTGATGTGCAATTATTCAGCTTGCAGGATACATTTATCTTCTGTAAGTAGTATGAAACACCTTTGTTTTTATATTGGTTCTATTCCTTAAAAAATTACAGGTTTTGTCTTGTTATATTACAGTCATATTAAACAATTATGGATATCTGCAATTACAAGAAGCAGCTCATTAAAGGGGCTGGGTTGTTTTCATTGAGGCTCTGCTTTATTTCTATTGGAATAATTTTATGCACACAGCAGCATATCAAATAGGATGCACCAGAGGATGATTTTAGGAACTTAGTTCAAAAGCCCTCTCAGGATTTTGCATACATTTTAAATAATATTCAGCTAAACACATAATCGCATGTTTCTCATATATTTTCAAAAATTCCATATGGTTAGAAACTGCTGACTCATTTCCCTGTTTTGATAAACAGAATGGCATTTAATTGAAGTCCTGAAAAATAACTTCTTTCTCTTTATACTCAGGCGAGTTAATAAAGTCCCCATTTCAGAAGATGAAATAACACACTGCCTGCTCCTATTCCAGTTTTCTGCCTCAAATGTCTTCCTGGAGAGGCTTCATGTATGCCAGCCTTCTCAAGGATTTAAGAGTATTAAACCAAGAGTAGATGGTAGCTGGTGTTCTTTGATCTCACTGTATTTGTTGGTGTTAAGTTTTTTGTTCTTCTTTCCTTTTCTTTTTTTTTTTTGGAGATGGGGGTCTCACTATGTTGGCCAGGTTGGTCTTGAACTCCTGGCCTCAAGGAATCCTCCCACCTCGGCCTGTCAAAGTGTTAGGATTACAGGTGTGAGCCACCACACCTGACCTGGTTGGAACTGAGTTTTAAAAAGTCATTTGTTACTACTTGTGCATGAAATTTGGTGCGCTCTAAATAGATTGTTTCACTATATGACATTCCATATATTTACCATTAATTCCAATTAATAGGAATTCCAATCGAATGACTTAAACAAATTGAATATAACAATTACTAATGCCTTTAGACACTATTATGTTAGGTTGAAATATTTCCTACACTGGCTGTATCTACGGGTCATTGCATCTGGCTACTTAGAGGGCAAGGAAATGTAATTGTACTGAAAATCCTAGTCCTGGAGAAACAGGCTTTTTAACTGTCAGCTCCTAGTCTTTGAGGTTTGCTCTGACAGCTCTGAAGCTTGGTTAATACACAACAATATGCACAAAGTAAATATTTAAATAAAAAGTAAAAAAATAAATACACTAAGTAAGGAAATAATTAGGTTGTATGATATTACTATTTTATTATTGTATTTTATTTCATTTTTAGGCAAAGTCTCACTCTGTTGCACAGGCTGAAGTGCAGTGGCACGATCTCTGCTCACCTCAACTTCTGCCTCCTGGGTTCAAGTGATTTCCGTGCCTCAGCCCCCCAAGTATTTGTGATTACAGGCATGCGCCCCCACGTTCACCTAATTTTTTGTGTGTATTTTTGGTAGAAAGGGGGTTTCATCATGCTGGTCAGGCTAGTCTCAAACTTCTGGCCTCAAGTGATCTGCCTGTCTCAGCCTCCCAAGGTGCTGGGATTACAGGCATGAGCCACTGCACCCAGCCACTTATATGAAACATCTGACTGCATTGCTGAATTCAAAATATTCTGAATATGTTATACAGAAAAATGTTTTGAAAGTCTAGTGAAAATTAATAACAAAATAGAATGTTCTACTTACAGTCATTGTTGACTTACCTTAATAATAATTTTTGTATGTTTTGTAATGTGAAAGCATAGATCTATCATTCATCTTGTCAAAAATCTTTGAGTGCAGAACCATATTTTAAAACAAGAAAGTACAGGTTGGACGCAGTGGCTCATGCCTGTAATCCCAGCAGTTTGGGAGGCCGATGCAGGCAGGTCACGATGTCACAAGATCCAGACCATCCTGGTGAACATGGTGAATCCCTGTCTCTACTAATAACACAAAAATTAGGTGGGCATGGTGGCACACGCTTGTAGTCCCAGCTACAAGGGAGGCTGAGAAGGGAGAATCGCATGAATCTGGGAAGTGGAGGTTGCAGCGAACCTAGATTGTGCCACTACTGCACTCCAGCCTGGTGATAGAGGGAGACTCTGTCTCAAACAAAACAAAACAAAACAAACAAAAAAACAAGCAAGTACAAACGAGAAATAAATTAAGTATGCAAATATTTTATTATCTCTCAATAGAGCCTTACTTGAAAAGACCATCACTCCATGGCCAATGGATCTACTTAATCCTGAAATAACCATGAGTGGGGTGTATCTGTTACTATCAGCAGGCCAACCTTACTGCAACAAGAAAGGCCTTTGACAACTCGAGGGTCACCCCTGGGATTTCTATGGCCAACTTAAGTGGAAAGAACTTGCAGGAAACCAGTTGACATTTTTTTGAATAAAGAAATGGCAAGTTTCTCAATCAGTACCGTTTAGTCATCATTTCTTGGAAACAACTATACATCATACAGTTGAAGCCTTTAAAAACATGACTTTGGGGCCGGGCATGGTGGCTCACACCTGTAATCCCCGAACTTTGGGAGGCTGAGGCAGATGCATCACTGTGACGTCAGGAGTTCGAGACAAGCCTGGCCAAGAAGATGAAACCCTGCCTCTACTAAAAATACAAAAGTTAGCCGGGCATGTTGGCATGCACTTGTAGTTCCAGCTCCTTGGGAGACTGAAGCAGGAGAATCGCTTCAACCCGGGAGGTGGAGGTTGCAGTGAGATGAGATTGCGCCACTGAACTCCAACCTGGACATCAGAGAGAGACTCCATCTCAAAAACAAAGAAACAACAAAAAAATAAAAGCACCATCCATTGATTAAAAGGATGCAGCAGGGCATGTTGGAAGTACAGAGGGAATAAGAGGGAGCCTGGGCTCCACTGGCAGGGCGATGGCCATTCCAGCCAAAGGGGCAGGGGTAGCTGGAATGAGCCCGGGGACGAGGTCCTAGGCCACGTCAACTTGGCCTTCATCCCGAGTCCTTGCATCCCTACAGAGGAGAAAGAGCGGACAGATTGTGGGGGCACAGACCCCAAAAGATTGTGGGGACAGAGGCCCCAAAGAGTCCCCCCATCTCAGTCCACAGCAACCATGAGTGGTACTTAGGGAGAGGGGGAGGTGCACCAGTAGGGGGTTGGTCCCACACAGTCCTTCACGCGCATGTGCAGTGAGCTGACCAATCAGCGACGAGCGCGGGAAGCCAGACCGGCTGCTCTCACAGGAGCTGAGGACCCATTTTCTGAGAGACTCGCGCGGTGTCAGTGTCTATAGGTTCTGAGAGCTAGCCACGTAAGGGGTCCCTCAGGTGGTGAGCTGCTCGTGGAGGGGAGGCGGGAAGGCGGGCATGAGGCCCTCTGGGAACCAGGCTGTGAAGTGCTGGGAAGCCAGCTGACCTGTGAGGAGATGGCCCTGGCGTAGTCACCTGGGGCCAGGGTCAGGGCGTGGGCTGAGGTGGGCCCCGGTAGGGAGGGAGCCAGAGCCGCCTGGGTGATCCCCAGGGCCCCGGAGTGTCCTCCGGGCTCGTGCATGTGTGCAGGGGGAGGGGTGGCAGAGGGAAGGGGGCCACGGGGAAGGGGAGCGGAGTCGCAGAGGGGGGAGGGTGGGAGAGTGGCAGACAGATGGGGGCTGGGGATGGGGCAAGAGATGGGGGCGGGATAGGGGAGAGGTGGAGTGAGGGGATGGGCAGGGATTGTGGGGAGGGGAGAAGGAGGGACTGAGGATTCAGAGGACGGAAGGGGTTGGGAGGTGTTGGGAACAGTCCGAGTGGGTTCCTCCAGTCCAGCCTCCCGTCAGGACAGGACACGGGGTCACCAGGGGTCACCTGGCATCCAGGCGGGTGAGTGGCAATTCAGCCCCTGACATTCCCTCTTGAGATGGCTGAGGAGATCCTGTGTCACCCGCAGTCCTCCGGCCCACACAGGTCTCTGGCGGAACCAGAGGCAGGTGTGCGAGGCAGAGCCACCCCCGGGGACGGGCTGGACGGGCCAGGACGGGAGGGGACACTGGCATCTTCTCCCTCCCTCCTGCTCCCACAGGAGACTCGGGGAGGGCCAGCCCCACCCATCTTGAACCCGCGATCCCAATGGCTTTCCTTTCTGACGTCTCGTTTCCTTAGCTTCCTTAGTCGTCTTTGTGCTCACTAGGTTCAGGGGTCGCCTCTAGCTTCCCAGGACGGTCAGTCATGGAACGCGTGGGCAGGAAGCACAGCAGGGGGGCTGCCAAGGCCCACTTGGAAGCTCAAGGTATGGCTGCCCAGGACAAAGAGCATGCAGGTAAACACAGCCCAAGGGGACCCGGAAGCAGGCGCACGCCCAAGGAGACGTTTGTCTGATCTCTGCTGGGGATCACACTGGCAACCCAAGGTCCCCGGCCTCTTCATGGCTTTGGAGTCCACTGTGCACGTGCTAAGACATCCCGGTTTTCAAAGCAGGCTCGAGGGTCTTAGACTTCCCACGGGAGGCTCCACCTCAGGCAGGGTTACAGGTGCTCTCAGAGTAGCTCTTCTCCATGGCTGAGGTCCTGGTGTCCAAGGAGTCTGACCTGTAGTGTGTTGTTTACTGGGACTTGAACCCCAAGGGCTTCCAAAAGTGCCTCCATTAAATGGTCAGGAGCCGGTGATTCCACGTATAGCCCTGCTTGAAAGCTTTAGTTGGCAGACAGCCAAAAACAAGTCCACAAACGGTACGTTTCTCCATGAAAATGTCCACAGCAGCGTCTTCCTCTAAAAAAGATTTGTCTTTTAAATTTTGATGCAGGAAAGGATCCAGTAATTGATGAACATGAGGAAAGAAACCCTTTTATAGAAGCAAAGGAGGAAGATGTAACTGCTGAGCAGGGGGAAAGAGAACTTCTTGATGAAACAGATGAATATGAGGGGTAAAGTGTGAAGTCACTGTTGTCTGTCGGATAGAGCCTTTTAGGAAAAGTCAGCTTTGGATCATGTCATCACTGTTCTAGTCTATGCAGAACATTTCACATAAGACATTTTTTCCCAACAAACACGGCATTTTGTGTAGTCCTGTGTTAAAATTTTGTTGTAACTTTTTTTACAGGGTTGATACCAACAAGCTAGAAGATATTGCAGGTATGCCTTAGGAGCTATCCATAGTTTTTGAAAGTTATTTTCAATCATACAACTGTTACATAGGTTATGTGAATTAGTGGACAACAGACTGTCTTACATGCCTTCTCATATATAGCATTTAGCATACGTATTTACCATAATGTGTTTGATAAATTTTTCTTACCTTTTTATTGTGGATGTGGAATGTGAGAATACTTCTAACAATGATGAAGCAAGAGGGATGGCTTTTCTTTCATACATGTGGAAATTTAATTGTTTAGGGGATATTAGAGGACACTAGAGGAGAAACAGCTCCATTTGTTCCTGTTAGCATACACAGATTAAGTCATATGTCAGTTCTTTTAGCTTTTATTTTAGGTTTGGGGGTACATGTGCAGTTTTGTTATATAAATAAACTGCGTATCACAGGGTTTTGTCACTCAAGATATAAGTATAGTACCTCATGGGTGGTTTTCATCTTCACCCTCCTCCTACTCTCCACCTTCAAGTAGGACCAAGCGTCTGTTGTTCCCCTCTTTCTGTCCCTATGTGCTCAGAGTTTTTAATATGAGTTTTTCATCTTCCTAATTCAGCTGTTCTATTGTCACAGCTTTCTGATGTACCAGAGAAAACTGAATTCTCTAAAATGATGATTTTCTATTATTATTCCAGTAATAAACTGTGTAGTAGAAAAGGAAAGACAACTTTTCTACCCAGTGAGAAACACGTAATTAGATCCAAAAACTCATAAATTTTGTATTGCCATATGAAATATTAGTTGCACTGACTGTTATCAGTCCATATTTTCCAAACAAGTTTGAGAAAATTTCTGTAGAGATGATGGAGACAATACTCTTATTTTTAAAAAGCTTAATTCAGTTTTCAGCTCTTCTATAGTGATAATTCATACAAGCAGTATATTTGGAAAGTTTTGCTCTGCTTGGTGACTAACTTCTGGTTTTGTGAGCTGCCTGCCTGAGCATTATAGATGGGGACTGTAGGTAAAAAATATTTTTATTATGGTACAGATCTTTCATGATTGCTGAAAACTATTCTTAGCAATTGATGGTAGATCTCTGATGTGAAACCGAGTTTAGGAAAGCATTCCTTGTAGTATTACATTTTCCTGAAACACAGCACTATGGATACAAATGTCATATGAAAAGCTCCCAGAAAATATTTCAAAAGTCATTTTGAATGTATTTCTTTATTTAAACCTAAATTTTTATACCTACAGATGTTGCTTCTTTTATCAAAATACAGTTAATTTGCTTAAAAATACTTTTCTTATTGTGTATTATTTCTACCCTTTTGATGGTCTTATTAAATAAGATACTTTTTTGTGCTTTACATGATGAATTGTGACAGTATTTCATGGAACATGTCCTTTGAATTGTAGGACATTTTATAAATTTAGAAAATAGAGTCTCTGTTTGTAACCCTTTCTGCACATTTAAAAAATAGAAACTGTTTTAATTATTTGCTTTTCTTCATCATCCATCAATTAAGTGATTTGCAGTTATAACAATTGGAATCGGAATACTAATATTAATACCTGAAATGTTTTACAGAAAATAAGTGAGTAAATCTTGCTTTTTGAAATGATCTTTGCATTTTACAATTTAAATGTCCTTTAGATATTGCTGAAACATCATGTCCCATACTGATTTCAATATACGCAAAGAAACTACTTTTCAGCATTAACGTTTAATGCACTTTCATTTACTATCTAGCTGACATTAGAGAGGCTCTTGTTGCAAGAAAAAAAATTATTAAAATGGATAAAGCAGCTTACAGGAAAATAACGAACACAATTGAACGTGCTTTGAGTAAAAAACAACTAAAAAGGTATGATCTTTGGCTGTTTGCATAATGACATTTATATCTTTTCTTTGTATTTGTTGGCACAAATAATTTCAAAACTATCCTGTACATATTGGCATCTCTAGTGAACAACATATTTTACTTGACTGTCCCTAAGTAGCTAAGTTTCTTTAGCTTTGTAGCCTCAGTTTAACAGAATTGAGAGATATTACCTAGAAGCCAATGAAGATGACCTCTTTTTGCCTTCTAGATAAAAATTAGTCTTCCTGTAAAATTAATTTATATCCATTTATAGAAATACAGTAGCTAAATATAAGATACATGTCTTCGATGTTCAGTCTGGAGATCCTTAATAATATTCAGTTACTTAGAAAGGGATAACCTTATATTGTAAATAAGTTATCTATTTTAGTTCAATTGTTTTCACTTTTCCTTTTAGAAAATCATTGTTGTGCCAAAGTGGAGAAATAGTTAAGTGAAGTATTTATTTTGGGAAATCTTACAGGATGAATGACTGTGATATTCTTGAACCTACTTATGAGTACCCATATGTTATTTAGTAAGAGGAAATGAAAAGTAAACTGTTGTTAGAGAAAATGAATGTTTCTGGGAAATTTATAGTGCAGTAAATGCTCCTTTGTCTTCAGCATGTAAAGAATGTGAGATAGCTGCTCTAGTAGTCATGAAGGAAAGAATCCTTTCAGAATGAGAGCAACTCATTTCACCTTTTCCCAAAAACAAGATTTCAGCTGCTATTACTCCCTTGCCACTTTACAGCTTAAATTATATCAAGTCAGTTTTGACTTGAAAAGGATTAATTTTTCATCTATGATATGACATATGACAGTATTACTTACTATGTGTTACAGGCAGAAACGTGATTATAGACATACTCTGAAGTTGCTGCATGTCCTTGAAGAATACATCGCAGATGAGCAGCAGGATCATGATGAAGAAGAAACAGAATCAGAAGCAGAAGAAGAAAGAGAAAAAGCAGAAGCAGAAGAAGCAGCAGAAGAACCAGTAGAAGAAGAAGAAGAAGAGGAAGAAGAAGAAGAAGAACAAGAAGAAGAAGAAGAAGAAGAAGAAGAAGAAGAAGAAGAAGAAGAAGAAGAAGAAGAAGAGGAGCGACCACCACCACCACCACCACAATATATAATTGTTGGTATCAGGCTTAGCTTTGTGATTAATCTGTTGTATTAATGTCTCAGATAGGAATAATTCATGCAGAAATCCAGAAAAGAAGAAAGAGAACATAAACCCAGAGAGGGGGACCCGTTAGTGGACTGCTGGACTAGGAGAATATAATTGTCACGCAGTATTAGGGGTCCAATTGAGGTCAGCATCATAGGATTAAGAAGTTAAAGTGACCCCAATTGGCATACTTGTGCCAGAGCAGCTATAGGGTTGGAATTTCCTGGATTGGGGTGTAGCTGAGCACATTGATAGAGGGAGAGTTGGGCAGGGCATAGACACAGGGATGCGGTTGTGATGACTGGCTGTGGAATTTCAGCTGGGACTGAGTAACCTGAGCACATGGGGGTGGGGCATTGGTCAGTGAAAAGTGTTCCATTCAATGGGTGTCAGGTCCCAACAGACTCCTGAGCTGTAGTACTGAAAAAAGTGACCCACAATGGCAAAGAGGTAGTGGCTGTATGTTGGAAAGATGGAGAAACAGCTGAGTGCAGTGGTCAAGGGGTGGGACTCTGAAACCACACTGCTTGGGATCCAACTCCAGTTTGATCATTGCTAGCTTGGAAACCATGGGCAAAGTATCTCTGTGCCTCAGTTTCCTTATCTATGAAAGGAGATATGGTAAGAGTACTTACCTCAGAGTCCTTTGGAGGATTAAAGGGTTCCTGTGTAACGGGTTCATTTAAATTTTTCAGGATATAATCTGACCTATGATTGCTCTTTATTATTGCCATTCTTAATATTACGTACCTGTTAAAGTCACTGGGAAAGACAAAATCTAGGGGATGACTGCGCAAGTGAGTGCCACGTAGAGGAGAGAACACTGTAGTTGGATATTAGATCAAGGTGCAGAAAGCCAATCATTATTGGAAGGTTCATCTATTTATGTGCATACTGAAATGACCAAGATTTAGTACATGTTTAAAATCTTAGTAAGAAAGAATGTTTCTTAACTTCTGTATCAATTTTACCTGTGATCAACAAATTGTAGTAAGAGTCATCAGATACTCTTCATTTGAAATCAAGAATTAAGACATATGTGTTGAATATGTATAAGAAAGAAAATTCTTTACTCAGTGACTGATGAAAAAGGTTATTATATCAATTTAGTGTATGAGTGGTGAACACAATTTTTTAAAATTGGTCATAAATGTTTAAAAACAAGAAGTTAAGATTTAAAGAGTATCCCTTTAGAGAAGGGATAGATTTAAAGAGTATCCCTTTAAAGCTAATGCAGAATTATGTTTTGTAGGTATTAAAATTTACCCAATTTTTGTCACTACTTTGTTTTGTGCTTCTAGAAAACATTTCAACAACAACAGAAGAAGTGGCAAGAACATAGAAGTGTTAGGATAAAGAGGCTAAAAGAGATGAAATGTCTACATGAGCAATTCCTAAAGGTCTGTTCTATTTGGTAACATGATACATTATAAAATTCAATGTGTGCATAATGGAAGAAAGTCTGCTTGTTTCTGAATGTGTGGAAAGATATTTTGGTTATACGTTTTAAATTACTTACCATTTTAACTTTGAATGTATTGTTCCAAATTTAATGTAACTAGTAAATGTATTTTTAGAATTAATGAATAGTTTTGTGAGAGTTATTTAGAACAGGAAAAAGTAAATTGGAAATTTTACCTGGAAATATACATCTTGTATATAAAACTGACACTTTATGACCACATTCGCCCATTTATGCTGGAGGCTGCAAATTTCGTGTGTGTGAAAAATCAGATCTTGGTGATGACCTTCAGCAGCAGGATATACATGACTCCTGCAAACTTAGCTTACCAATAATGGAACAATAGGCATAAATGGGTTTTAATGAAGGTTTTATTTCAGTTTTCAGAACATCAATGACAAATCTGTGGTGGAAGGCAAGAAGTCCGTAAATCCTTTCTGGATGTCTTTTATACTTGTGTTGTTTGAAGAATTTTAGTTAAATAGGAAGTAGGCAAGTGTAACTACTGAGTGTCTCTTTTGTTTCCTGCTGTAATACAGGAGTGTTTTATGGCATATTCACTTTCAAAATTATCATTGACTAGTAATGGTTTTACATGACAATTTGCAATCATATGAGATGGTTCAGATGTATAACAGAATGGGAAAGCCAGCAGATTATTAACACGTTGTGAATTGGGAATTACCTGCTGTCGTACAGCACATTGGCAAATAGTCATCGGACAATGACCTCTTCTTCATGTAGATGTATATAATCTAGGAAACAATGCAATTATTTTTAGGGAAGTAAGGTATTCTTTTTAATAACCTTGTGAAAATACATGTTCACATGTCACTCTTCTACACTGAGACGTGGTAAGTAAACTTGAGAAAAGAGTTTGAAAATAATTTTTTTTTTTTTTGAGACGGAGTTTCGCTCTTGTTACCCAGGCTGGAGTGCAATGGCGCAATCTCGGCTCACCACAACCTCCGCCTCCTGGGTTCAGGCAATTCTTCTGCCTCAGCCTCCCAAGTAGCTGGGATTACAGGCATGCGCCACCATGCCCAGCTAATTTTTTGTATTTTTAGTAGAGACGGGGTTTCACCATGTTGACCAGGATGGTCTCGATCTCTTGACCTCGTGATCCACCCGCCTCCGTAAAATTTTCAAGCAACTTGAGGATGATCTATACACAAACAGTTATTTAAATACAAGTCACAAGTAAAGAACATGTTGCTACAATGTTCCCTAGAAACCATTTATTAATTGGTACGAACATGAAACTAGAAGTTTTCCTGTCAACATTAATGCTGCATGTTACCACTTAGGGTAGGAACTTTGCTATCATCTTGGACTCTTCTGAGTCCGTTATCCTTCCCATCCAGTTATCACCAGGCAAGTTTCACCTCTGCAATGGTCCTTAAATGTCTTTCTTTAAATTCCCACTGAGGCTGCACTAGTTCAAGACCTCATTCTTCCTTGCCCATACTATTAAACTCTTCTCTGAGTTCTCTCTTCTATTCTGAGCCATCCTTCATTGATCAGCAATATTATCTTCCTAAATCCCTTTCCTTCCTAAAATGCTTCCTAGCCCTTCCCTCCTCCCATCCTGTCAGTGGTGCCCATGTCTCAGTTCTTAGATATTCAGAGACTCTCTCCTTTACATGACCCCCTCCTAGGCTTGTTTTGCTGCCCTGTGTCTTTGCTCCAGCCTCTCCAGGTTGACAGCCTTCCCTGAAGGAACTCACCGTTGCGCCTATGTTTTGCTCTTCCCTCACAATGCTTTTAATTTTTTTTCCTTTTTTTTGACCAATTGAAACCTTTTGCCAACTAGGCCTATGCCAGTCTCCATCTCTGACTACATGTCCGTGTGGGTTGCCATTCCATAGCACTTGCACAACTTTTGTATTACTTTTTTTAATTCGTGCATTTGCTCATGTCACAGGAATATGGAAGAGATTATACATTTTTTACTTCTTCCTCAGAATTAACATACGACATTTTAGGGAGCAGGGGATGTTGAACTATTTGTTGAGTAAAGACTATATATTTCAAACATAGTTACGTTTCCTCTAACTTGATGAGGTCATATCACCAACCATTTTATCTCTTCAGTGGAAACCACGTTATGTAGACTACTGCTGATAATAAAGGGGTCACTACCTGCTGAAAAAAATATAATGTTTCATGATATAAGACTGCCCACCTTTTTCTGTCTTTGCTCCGTCTTGATCTTAAGAAATTCTTCAAGCCATTTTATTCAAGCGAAGTCCATGACTGTTGGACTTGCTAAAATTGTCTTCACTGAAATCTGGCATTAAAACATTTAAGTGGATATTTGGAGCTCCATATATTGATTACAGTTTTTTCCTATTTGAAATAAATAACCAGCATCCTTTGAATATTATGACCTGTTTCCTTTTAACATTTGATTAACCCCGTTTAAAAAGTGAGATATAAAGTGGTGGTTTGTCAGTGAACTACACTTTCTTCTAGGCTACCAAGGAGACTGGAAACAGTTATTACAGCATTTTTTCTGATGAAGAAAGTGAACTTGATGACTAGCTATGTTTTGAAAAAAAATTGTGTCAGAACTGTAAGTAGTGCATATTTAATATTCAAAACAGACTTTATGTAAGCACTGGAATATTTTATTTGCAGAAATGTATATCACAGTTACTTAAATTTTTTTTTAAACAGATTTTGGAAGAGTTGGAAGCTGCTCAGTTGTCTCTTCAACCTGTGTTATTCTGATGACTGAAGAAATAACTTGAACCTATGTTATATGATACAAGCATAACTTGAGCTATAGTAGACTACATGACAGTGTTTTGAAAATTCTTGTATAAATTAGTATAGCTCTTCTGTCATTTGTCTGTTAAAGGCCAGACCTCATTTCTATGATCTGTTGAATGAACCCTAGACACTTCTGTGAGAAAGCAGCATTTGCAGTTATGTACATGGTTAATTAAATTTTAACATTAAAGATAATTTAAATGTAGGTTTGGCCTCTGTGCATATTTATCAGTTCCAAAAATGTAGAAAGCATGGGCATGGAAAAGTACAGATTTTTCTAATAAAAGATGACAAACTGGCCGGGTGCAGTGGCTGATGCCTGTAATCCCAACACTTTAGGAGACCAAGACTGGCCAACAGGAGTATGAGACCAGCCTGGCCAACATGGTAAAACCCCATCTCTACTAAAATTCAAAAATTAGCCGGATGTGGCACACATCTGTAGTCCCAGCTACTGGGGAGGCTGAAGCAGGAGGATTGCCTGAACCCAGGAGGGCGGAGGTTGCAGTGAGCCAAGATTGTGCCTTTACACTCCAGCCTGGGCAACAAGAGCAAGACTCTGTCTCAAAAAAAAGAAGACGACAACAAAACCTATCTTATCTGTGCATTCTTTTGTATTTACTCATTAGGAGAAAGAAGCAATTCCAATGAAAGTGTGACTTCAAAAAATATATACTCTATGGTCTTATCGAAATTATTAAAAATACCTTAATATCTATGTTCTTGAAAAAACTACTATAAATGATTAAGGCAACTGAGCAAAATATATTAATATCAGTGCTGTGCCACTGGTTTGTGGGTATATCATTTCCACAGAGGCATCAAAATGTCACTTAGTTTTGGTCCACCATTCAATGATACCTCCCCTTAGCATTGCATTAAAGTATTTTGTTAACATTTATATATGCTTACAATTATTTCACATCTATGGCAAGGTAAATTATGTAGAGTGCTGTCGTTTTCCAGTTTAATATTCGTGGATTATGTGGAAGTTTATACGTGCACCTAAAAACCTGAATGATGAATTTGCCTACCTTTCCTTTTTTAATGTGCAGTCTTCACACATAATAACATATAACAACATGTTAAAAAGATTTTTTGCATGTTGCAACGTGTTAAAAAGATGTACATGTAAAAGGATTTTTACATGTAACAACGTGTAAAAAAAGAAATGTACATTTGGAAACACTTTATTTAGTAAATATGAAATTCAGAATATATTTGGAGTAAGTCAATTAAATGTATTCTTTTGCTGAGTTTCTAAAATTCCATTCGTGAATCATTCAAAACACAGTAATTGGGAGGAGAGGGGCGACTTCCTCTCATTTTTCCTTGTGCTTTTTATTTGATTGGCCCCTATATATCATTCTTATCTTTTCTAGGTTTTCTAAGTTTAAGAAAAAAAATGTTCATTCCGATTTTGTTTTTCTGCCCGCAATCACTTATACAGGAATAAATGAGTCCCTGTGGTGAGCATTTAATTCCTAAAGTTAGCATTTTCTAAAGGATTTTCCTTTTACCCAAAGCGTGTGTTGATACTACTGAGTACTACTAAGTACTACTTCAGGCTTCTAAGACGATCCTTATTTGAGATCTCTTTCAGTAGTTACGGAAGCAAAAAAGGACTGCAGAGGTCCATGTGAGAGTTCTGTTGTACATACAGGGCTATCTGACTGTTTATAGTGGAAGGACAAGAAAGAGGCAACAATGTACTTAGTGATGTAACAGTTGATATTTACGTCACCCTTTACTACTTCAAGTGAGTAACTGTGTACTTAAAGTCACATATTTTTTAGAGGCAAGGTCTTGCTGTGGCCCAGCCAGAGTGCAGTGATGTGATCATAGTTCACGACAACCTTATGAGTGAGAATATGTGGTGTTTGGTTTTCTGTTCCTGTGTTAGTTTGCCAAGGATGATCATTTCCAACTTCATCCATGTCCCTGCAAAGGACATGAACTCATTCTTTTTTATGGCTGCATAGCATTCCATGGTGTATATGTGCCACATTTTCTTTATCCAGTCTATCATTGATGGGCATTTGGGTTGGTTCCAAGTCTTGACTATTGTAAATATGCTGCAATAAACATACCTGTGCATGTGTCTTTATAGTAGAATGATTTGTAATCCTTTGGGTATATACCCAGTAATGGGATTGCTGGGTCAAATGGCATTTCTGGTTCTAGACCCTTGAGGAATAGCCACACTGTCTTCCACATGGTTGAACTAATTTACACTCCCCCCAACAGTGTAAAAGTGTATCTATTTCTCTGCATCCTCTACAGCATCTATTGTTTCCAGACTTTTTAATGATTGCCATTCTAACTGGCATGAGATGGTATCTCAATGTGGTTTAGATTTGCATTTCTCTAATGACCAGTGATGATGAGATTTTTTTTCATATGTTTTTTGGCCACATAAATGTCTTCTTTAGAGAAGTGTCTGTTCATATCTTTCAATCACTTTTTTCTCCCATTGTGTAGGTTGCCTATTCACTCTGATGATAGTTTCTTTTGCTGAGCAGAAGCTCTTTAGTTTAGTTAGATCAAATTTGTCAATGTGCGGGCGAGAAGATGGTGGCGGCGGCGGAAGCAGCGTGAGCAGCCAGAGGAGCACCGAGTCCCATTGAAATGGGCCGCCATGGCCCTCCACAGTCCGCAGTATATTTTTGGAGATTTTAGCCCTGATGAATTCAATCAGTTCTTTGTGACTTCTCGATCTTCAGTTGAGCTTCCTCCATACAGTGGAACAGTTCTGTGTGGCACACAGGCTATGGATCAACTACTTGATGAATTACTGGAGAATGTAACCCTGATCCATAAACAAGTGTCACTGCAACCCCGTGGGCTGATCAAGAAAGGAAACTGGTGCTACATTAATGCTACACGGCAGGCACTGGTTGCTTGCCCTCCGATGTATCACCTGATGAAGTTCATTCCTCTGTATTCCAAAGTGCAAAGGCCTTGTATGTCAACACCCATGATAGACAGCCTTGTCTGGCTAATGAATGAGTTTACTAATATGCCAGTACCTCCGAAACCCCGACAAGCTCTTGGAGATAAAATGGCGGGGATATTCGCCCTGGAGCTGCCTTCGAGCCCACGTATATTTACAGACTCCTGACAGTTAACAAGTCAAGCCTGTCTGAAAATGGTCGACAAGAAGATGCTGAGGAATATTTAGGCTTCATTCTAAATGGACTCCATGAGGAAATGGTGAACCTAAAGAAGCTTCTCTCACCAAATAATGAAAAACTTACAAGTTCCAATGGCCCCACAATCACTACGTCCGTGAAGAAGAGCAGGAAGAACAAGGGGAAGGAAGTGAGGATGAATGGGAGCAAGTGGGCCCCCAGAATAAGACTTTGGTCACCCGCTAGGAGGATTTTGTTTAGACCCCAATCACCGGCATTTTTGGTGGACACATCAGGTCTGTCGTTTACCAGAAGAGTTCAAAAGAATCTTCCACTTTGCAGCTGGATATCCAGTCTGACAAGATAGGCACAGTCCAGGATGCACTGGAGAGCTTGGTGGCAAGAGAATCTGTCCAAGGTTATACCACAAAAACCAAACAAGAGGTTGAGATAAGTTGAAGAGTGACTCTGGAAAAGCTCCCTCCTATTCTCGTGCTACACCTGAAACGATTTGATGCCAGAAGCTCATCAAAAATATTGAATATCCTCTGGACTTGGAGATTAGTAAAGAACTGCTTTCTCCAGGGGTTAAAAATAAGAATTTTACATGCCACAGAACCTATCGGCTCTTTGCAGTGGTCTACCAACACGGCAACAGTGCGACAGGTGGGCATTACACTACAGACTTCTTCCAGATCGGTCTGAATGGCTGGCTGTGCATCGATGACCAGACAGTCAAGGTGATCAACCAGTACCAGGTGGTGAGACCCACTGCTTAACGCACAGCTTACCTCCTGTCTTACTGCCGAGTGGACCTGCTGTTGACCCTCTGTGCGCTGTGTGTGCCCCATGCCTGCTTCGTAGGACACCAACTCACACTAACTTCCTGCCTCTCTTTAGTGGCTCTTTAGAGAGAAACTCTTTCTCCCTTTTGTGAAAATGGGCTAGAATGCAAAGGAGATGCCTTGGGGTTTGTGCACAGCGTAGTTTATGTTGACCTTTCACTTCCAAATCAGAATCATTTGGTTGAAATAGACCGTTGCTTGATTTTAGAAACTACACAAAATCCCATATTTCTAAAATAATGCTGATTCCTGAAGAAAGTGGAAGTTGCATTTGATTCCCAGTCTCATTGCTTAGTAGAAGAAATCCTGCACCAGCAACACTTATAAATTTGTGAAAATGAATTTTATCTTTCCTTAAAACAGAAATTTTTTAATCCATCACACTTTTCTTGCCCTGCCCTTTAGTTTTTGATAAATGAGAAAAATGAGCCAGTTATCAACGAAGAACTAGTTCTTATTTTAAAAGAAAAATAAACAAAACACCAAAAGCATTGGCAACAAAAGCCAAAATAGACAAATGGGACCTAATCAAACTCCACAGCTTCTGCAGGGCAAAAGAAACAGTCATTAGAGTGGATCGGCAACCAACAGAATGGGAAAAAATTTTCGCAGTCTACCCATCTGACAAAGGGCTGATATCCAGAATTTACAAAGAACTCAAACAGATTTACAGGAAAAAAACAAACAAGCCCATTCAAAAGTGGGCAAAGGATATGAACAGATACTTTACGAAAGAAGACATATATGAGGCCAACAATCATATGAAAAAATGCTCATCGTCACTGGTCATCAAAGAGATGCAAATCAAAACCACATTGAGATACCATCTCACGCCAGTTAGAATGGCGATCATTAAAAAATCTGGAGACAACAGATGCTGGAGAGGATGTGGAGAAAAAGGAACACTTCTACACTGTTGGTGGGAGTGTAAATTAGTTCAACCATTGTGGAAGACAGTGGGGCGATTCCTCAAGGCCTTAGAAATAGAAATTCCATTTGACCCAGCAATCCCATTACTGGGTATATATCCAAAAGACTATAAATCGTTCTACTATAAGGACACATGTACACGAATGTTCATTGCAGCACTGTTTACAATAGCAAAGACCTGGAATCAACCCAAATGCCCATTGATAATAGACTGGATTGGAAAAATGTGGCACATATACACCATGGAATATTATGCAGCAATCAGAAATGATGAGTTTGTGTCGTTTGTAGGGACATGGATGAATCTGGAGAACATCATCCTCAGCAAACTGACACAAGAACAGAAAATGAAACACCGCATATTCTCACTCATAGGTGGGTGATGAAAAATGAGAGCACATGGACACAGAAAGGGGAGTACTAAACACTGGGGTCTATTGGGGGGAAAAGGGGAGGGCCAGTGGGAGGGGGAGGTTGGGAGGGATAGCCTGGGGAGAAATGCCAAATGTGGGTGAAGGGGAGAAGAAAAGCAAAGCACACTGCCATGTGTGTACCTACGCAACTGTCTTGCATGCTCTGCTCATGTACCCTAAAACCTAAAATCCAATAAAAAATTAAAAAAAAAAAGAAAGAACAATAAACATAAAAAATAAGTTGCTGGTTCCTAACAGGGAAAAATTTTAATAATTGTGCAGAGAAAAACTGCTT